TACTCATTGTATACTTATCATTGGTATACTTATACTCATTGGTGGTACTTGGGGCTTATACTCATTGGTATACTTATACTTTGGTATACTTATATTGGTAGCTCCCCCTTTCATTTCAATTAGTAACATTTATGAAATATGAAGAACAGGAACGGAGAGAGAGAGAGAGAGAGCGAGCGAGAGAGAGAGAGAGAAGAGAGAGAGAGAGAAGAGAGAGAGAGAGAGAGAGAGAGAGAGAGAGAGAGAGAGAGAGAGAGAGAGAGACTGACGTGGGTGTAAGTGGAACCATTAACGGTGTCCTTTTTGGCGAGACTGAAGTGTCCCATTCACACTGTTTACACTCTGGCAACAGGACAAGTCACAGGATATGTCTGGTTTATGGGAAAAGGGGACAAGTGGCTGTTATTATTATTATATTCATTATTTGTTATAGTTATCGTAATTATGATTTGATTATCATTTTCATCATCATCGTTATCGGCAAGGTTTTTATTTTTTTCTTATCGTTATCATCATTGTTATGAATATTATTGTCATTGTTGTTATTATTATCATTAGTCATTATCGTTGTCATCATTATTTTATTATTATTATTATTGTCATTATCGTTGTCATTATCATTATTATTATCATTATTATTATCATCATTATTATTATTATCTTTATTATTATCATTATTATTATCATTATTATTATTATTATTATTATTATAATTATTATCATTATCATTTTTATTATTATTATCATTATTATTATTACATCGTCATCATTATCATTATTTTAATTATCATTACCTTCATTATTATAGTTGTAATATTCTTTGTTATAATCAACATTATCATTATCACTATTGTCATTTATTATCATTATTATTATTATCATCATCATTATTATGATGGTAATTTAAGCTAAAAATGGACCAAAATATTGCTGAATTATAAGAGGGCAGATATATAGTGAAACCATTATCAGTAATTTTTTTTTTCTCTCTCTCTCTCTCCATTACGGAAAGACAGAAAACGTAACGCGTTTAACACAACGAACTTAAGGGGAAACTCAAATAGATTTACATGCATGTTCTAGATCAGTAGTGTTTCCAAGGAGGCTCGAAATCATGGGAAAAAGCATGGAATCATTTAATCATACTTGTAATTTTCTTAACGAGAGCCCTAGGGAGAACAAGGTTTTAACACGTCCTGGACATGTATGTGCTTCGTTGGCGACTGGTAAGCCTCGTTCCCTCTTCTCTCAATTTCATTCAGTTTTGCTTTATCTCAGCTGGGATATTCACCTAATGATAGTTAGCAGCCATAAGTTTATTGGTGAATTGTGACTAATTTATGCTTAATAAAAAGACGTACATATTCTTGTCTTTAAAATCTGGGGAAGAGTTTTATTCATTGAGGTAAGGAGGGGCGTGTAGGTAAGGACAAATTCCTTGAGGAGGTGTAATAATAAAAAGGTTGGGCTACATGTTGCGTTAGTAATTTTCATTTCATTGCATTAGGGAAGATTTGGGAGTGAGGGGATGACAGAGTGAACAGGGTAAATGTTGAGAACATTGAAAAGGAGAGCAAAAGGGAGAGAGACGAAAGATAGAAGAAGGGTGAAAGAGGGAGAAAGTCCCTCTGTTTTTTTCCTAGAATTTCCAAGGATCTCGCTAATTATCTTCATTGCTACTTTGACTCATTCTTTTTCACTCCAACTCTCTATAGTAATTTTCACTGGGTTCGATTCGAAAGTGGAAGAGGTGAACATATTTAGTAAAATAACATATGTTTCTGATTAATTAAAAATATGTGATATTGAATAAGTTTAAAGGATGATGGAAATAAACCATAATAATGACGGTGATGATATTGATAGATTATATTATTAATGATCATAAATTATAGTACTAACGATGCTAATTAAGATTATGATGATAGTAATGAATAATAATAGTAATATAAATTTTGAATAATGATGATAATCATAACAGTAAATCCAACTACTAATAGTGGTAATAAGTAAATGGATTGATAAAGAATTACCCTCTATCTAAAAACTAATTTGGTCCCAAAAAGCTGAAAATTATTGTTTCTAATTTCACAATCAATATATAAAGTAATTTTCGTATTTGGACACTCGAAATAGCCAACTTTGGCCCCGATAATACTCGATATTTTAGTATTAGAGTGTAATGCATTTGGTAATGTATTAAATAATCTAATGAAAGCGACTAACAAATCAATTATATTTCGAATATTTGAAGACATATGATGCAAAATTTTATTAGGTAATATTAAATTTATTAACAACAAAATGCCTAATATGATATTCTCTGTGACTGCGGACTTGATAGTATTTAATTTTGGTGTAAAATTGAGTGATAGTTGATAAACCACATATCATATTTTACCTTATTATTATTATTATTATTATTATTATTATTATTATTATTATTCATGATTATTATTATGATTATTATTGCTGTTGTTATTATTATTATTGTTACCATTGTTGTTGTTGTTATTATCATATTGTTATCATTGTTGTTGTTGTTATTATCACTATATATTATTATTTATTATATCATATATTATATTATTATTATATATTATTATTATTATCTATATTATTATTATTATTATCTATATTATTATATTATTATCATATATATATTATTATTATCTATATATATATCATTATTTTCATCACCATTACCATCATTAACATTTTCATTATTATTATCATTATTATTCAAGGCAAGTAGACTACACTTAAGCAGTTGGACCGCCAGCTTATGCAAAGAAGGGGAAGGATAATTAAAGAGAAAGGGGAGATGGGGAGGGAGAATAGGAAGGGGAAATAGGAAAGTTGGGGAAGCTTAAGGAGGAAGAGGAAAGTGGAGGGGGGGGAGATATACGGCCTAAAGTGGGGGTAATTTTTTGGGAAGATTTGGGAGTGATGACAGAGTGGACAGACGAAATGTTGAGAACATTGAAAAGGAAAGCAAAAGGGAGAGAGACGAAAAAGTAGAAGAAGGGTGAAAGAGGAGAAAGTCCCTCTGTTTTTTTCCTAGAATTTCCAAGGATCTCGCTAATTATCTTCATTGCTATTTTGACTCATTCTTTTTCACTCTAACTCTCTATAGTAATTTTCAATGGGTTCGATTCGAAAGTGGAAGAGGTGAACATATTTAGTAAAATAACATATGTTTCTGATTAATTAAAAATATGTGATATTGAATAAGTTTAAAGAATGATGGAAATAAACCATAATAATGACGGTGATGATAATGATAGATTATATTATTAATGATAATCATAAATTATAGTACTAATGATGCTAATTAAGATTATGATGATAGTAATGAATAATTAATATAATTTTTAATGAATGATAATAATATAAATCCAACTACTAATAGTGGTAATAAGTAAATGGATTGATAAAGAATTACCCTCTATCTAAAAACTAATTTGGTCCCAAAAAGCTGAAAATTATTGTTTCTAATTTCACAATCAATATATAAAGTAATTTTCGTATTTGGACACTCGAAATAGCCAACTCTGGCCTCGATAATACTCGATATTTTAGTATTAGAGTGTAATGCATTTGGTAATGTATTAAATAAACTAATGAAAGCGACTAACAAATCAATTATATTTCGAATATTTGAAGACTTATGATGCAAAATTTTATAAAGTAATATCAATATGGTGCAAAATTTTATTAGGTAATTTTAATTCATCAACAATAACAACAAAAATGCCTAATGTCATATTCTCTGTGACTGCGGACTTGAAGTTATTTAATTTTGGTGTAAAATTGAGTGATAGTTGATAAACCACATATCATATTTTACCTTATTATTATTATTATTATTATTATTATTATTATCTCGCTAATTATCTTCATTGCTATTTTGACTCATTCTTTTTCACTCCAACTCTCTATAGTAATTTTCACTGGGTTCGATTCGAAAGTGGAAGAGGTGAACATATTTAGTAAAATAACATATGTTTCTGATTAATTAAAAATATGTGATATTGAATAAGTTTAAAGAATGATGGAAATAAACCATAATAATGACGGTGATGATAATGATAGATTATATTATTAATGATAATCATAAATTATAGTACTAACGATGCTAATTAAGATTATGATGATAGTAACTAATAATAATAGTAATATAAATTAGGAATAATGATGATAATCATAACAGTAAATCTAACTACTAATAGTGGTAATAAGTTAATGGATTTATAAAGAATTACCCTCCATCTAAAAACTAATTTGGTCCCAAAAAGCTGAAAATTATTGTTTCTAATTTCACAATCAATATATAAAGTAATTTTCGTATTTGGACACTCGAAATAGCCAACTCTGGCCTCGATAATACTCGATATTTTAGTAGTAGAGTGTAATGCATTTGGTAATGTATTAAATAAACCAATGAAAGCGACTAACAAATCAATTATATTTCGAATATTTGAAGACTTATGATGCAAAATTTTATAAAGTAATATCAATATATCAACAACAACAACAAAAATGCGTAATATCATATTCTCTGTGACTGCGGACTTGAAATTATTTAATTTTGGTGTAAAATTGAGTGATAGTTGATAAACCACATATCATATTTTACCTTATTATTATTATTATTACTATTATTATTATTGTTAATATCATGATTATTATTATGATTATTGCTGTTGTTTTATTATTATTATTGTTACCATTGTTGTTGTTGTTGTTATTATCATTATTGTTATCATTGTTATCATTGTTGTTATTATCATTATTATCTATATTATTATTATTATTATTATTATTATTATTATCTATATTATTATTATTATTATTATATTTATTATTATTATTATTATATATTTCATTATTTTCATCACCATTACCATCATTAACATTTTCATTATTATTATCATTTTTATTCAAGGAAAGTTGACTACACTTAAGCAGTTGGACCGCCAGCTTATACAAAGAAGGGGAAGGATAATTAAAGAGAAAGGGGAAATGGGAAGGGGAATTTGGGGGAGGAAGAGGGAAGTGGAGGGGGGGGAGATGTGAGGACAGAGTGGACAGGGGAAATGTTGAGAATATTAAAAAGGAGAGTAAAAGGCAGAGAGGCGAAAGATAGAAGAAGGGTGAAAGAGGGAGAAAGGGCCTCTTTTTTCCTAATTTTCCCTTTTTTCCTTTTTTCGCTAATTATCTTCATTGCTATTTTGACTCATTCTTTTTCATTCCAACCCTCTATAGATTGCCGTCAGAACTGAAAAAAGGGTAAAAATAGTAATAAATATGGAATAGTAAAGGCCTTTCTATACACAAAGGACGTTGACTATATTCGTTATGTAAATGTTGAATTACCAACCGGAATTATCACTTCCTGACGTCACTTTTCAATAAAACATTTATTTAGTCTTAAACAATAGGTAAGTCTAGATTAACTATACCACACAATTTATTATACATAACACGAAATCAAACTCAAATCATTATTAATAAAAAAAAATTTGGAACCACGAATATAAATTTTATTACTGCTGACTTACCAGTGTGTAGAGCTGTAGATGATAATGGTTTGCAAACGTAAATAACCCAAAGAACGGGTTGATTAAAGAGGTATACGCATGCCTCGACTAATCATGTTTTTTTTTTTGCAACAAACTATATCTAGTTTTGTAATTTTTAAAAAAAATGTCTTGATACAAGGGATAGCCCATACGACTTTCTGTTCTTTATTATCGTTATTGTATTATTTCACAAGGTTTTAAATTTCGTATGGAATTATTACACACACACACACACACACACACACACACACACACACACACACACACACACATATATATATATAGATATATATATATATATATATATATATATATATTATATTCAATACCGTAGTACTATTTGGCATCAATCCGCCTTTTGTTCATAAAATTGCTAAGTCGGCTGTAGAGTACCTTTCTAATATATATAGTTTTATGATTTTTCAGTTACCTCTCCTTGCTCTTATGTAGGAAACGAGTTGGTGCCAGCTGTGTCAAAGTCAGATACATCCAAAAGTAAATCAGGAAATCTATTGTTCTATCTAAAAATGTGCACGGAAGCTTAAAACAAAGTAGTCTTATTTCAAAAGCACACACACGCACGGATACATATATTTATAATTCTTCAGATTGAAAACAACTTTTAAGATTACTTAGAGGCAAATCCAAGTAAGTGGGTGCAAGTTTGAAAAATGAGGCTTACCTGAAATTAATTTCTCTCACATTGCACGACTTTTTTCTACTAAATTTATGCATTGTTATTTTCCTACAGTTGGCTTGTCTCCTCCTCGTGGCAGCAGCATGGGCTGCACCACCACCTGCTCCTCCCGTGGTCGGAAACGATACCGAGATAGGAATAAGTCGTGACAAGAGATATTACGACTGCTATGACCATGGTAATTGGTGTAATATGTGCGACCCATGTGTCCCGTGCTACAACAACCAACACTGCTATCAGTATAACTGCTACGATCCATGTTGGGGCTGGACAACATTGCCACCGGTTGATCCCACTCCGCCAGTATGGCCTACTGTCCCTCCTGTGTGGCCCACCAGACCACCCGTAGATCCTACACCTCCAGTATGGCCCACTGCCCCCCCTGTGTGGCCTACGAGACCTCCAATTGATCCAACACCACCACCTTGGTATACAAGACCCCCTGTCGACCCCACGCCACCTCCATGGCCCACCCATGGCCAGACCTCCAGTTGACCCACCACGACCAGTTGACCTGGCACATCAGTTGACTCCACTAGACCTCCAGTTGACCCCACGCACCTCCAGTTGACCCCACGCCACCAAGGCCCACCAGACCTCCAGTTGACCCCACGCCACCTCCATGGTACACTAGACCTCCAGTTGACCCCACGCCACCTCCATGGTACTAGACCCCAGTTGACCACGCCACCAACCCAGTTGACCCCCACCCCATTCCCCACGCCACCTCATGGACTAGACCCAATTGACCCGCCACCTCCATGGTAGACCAACCCCAATATGGCTACGAAGACCCAAGACTTACAATATGGCCCCCCCAACTTACATGGCCTACGAAGACCCCAAGACCTACTTACATCCCAATATGGCCTACGAAGACCCCAAGACCAACTTACATCCCCATATGGCCCACGAAGGACCCAAGACGCACAAGATCTGCTTACACCACATACTGGGCTACAAGGACCCCGGTACCAACTTTACCGACCCCTACAAATGCCAATACAATACCTGGGTAAGTAGGTTACATTCATACTGTCTAGATCACATTTCCAATTGAATTATACAAGTCCTAGAAGTGGATAAACCTAATCTTCTCTTCTTTCAGGTGTAACGAAGTTTGTGTTGATGCTGAACAGAACCACTACTGCTGCAATGAAGGTAAGACTGAAGAACAAAGACCTACATGGGTAAAGATTCTAGATAGGCCTATATGTT